GCCAGCTTGGTGGGAGTTAATTAGAATCTTGTCACTAAGTGAATGCACACTGCCTGGACTCTGACAGATGCTCCCCTCTGACATTGGGGGCCAGGAGACAATCCACATCAAGCTACTGCAGGATGACCCTTTTAACACAAAGAGTAAACTCACTGCACAGCAAGTTGAAGCTCATTAAAACTGTCTACTCTGTGAGCATCCCATTAACCTCCCTGTTAAAAACACGCAATCCCTCTTCTTCTCTTGCAGGCCTAATTAATGCTCAGGATCAGGAACAATATAACATTCTAACCTTCCTAGATTTCCAATCAGTAAATGAAAAAGGAGAAGGAAGAGCCAGAAAGATATAGATGCATCACCTGCACCTCACACCATATTGGTGGTTGACCCTTTCAAATAGGCAGGCTTTCCCATGAGGCTAGCACGAGCTAAGGGCAATTGGCTGTGCATAGCTGGCCAGTGTAATCAAGCTTCCATTTGCACTGTGTGCTTTGGTTGGTTGACTGTGCAAAGCTTCGACATCCTATTTCCAAACTTCGTGTGTAGGTTGGTGGGGGGCAGGGGGAAAGAGGGTGTTTGCACATGCACACACATACCTGCGTGGTATGGTGTATTGCCAAGGCAAGTCTGGCAGAAAATCTTGCCATAGATCCTCTACTTCTCTCCCAAATTCTAAATTATCTCATCAGTTGTTGGATATTGGCTTAAATCCATGAAAAAGGTTTGAGCAGATTAGGCTAATGGTAAATGTCAGGGGATCCCTGGGACACTTTCCACCCCAAACAAGCTGCCACTAACACACAAATCATCAGCACAGCTGAATAACCAGTGCTCAGCAGCTGCTAAAAACTGAGGACTAGGAGGGGTATACTCCTATGGGCTGTCTGCCTATCCTCTGGTGCTAGTGGTGGTGGTGAAACAGAGAAAAAATCTGTTCTTACCACTACTTGTCCAATTAGCCCTGGAATTCATGGACTGGCAGGTCCCTCTATAGATGTTCTCCATAGGAAAACCTAGTGGAGGCATTCAATGCCATTGCAAGTCCATCTGGGTAAACCAAAAGCCTGAAGAACTCAAGGTGATTTGTATAGAAACATAAATTTCTATGTTTATTTATCTTACTTGTAAGCCGCCCCAAGGCTTTCTGTAATGGGGGCGGCATAAAAATGTTATAAATAAATAAATAAAGCAGGAGATACTGCCAAGAAATGCCAGGTGCATGTCTCTGGGATATCTATAGCCACCACTTTAGATCAGGCCTAAAAACAAACTGACAAGCAAGTAGCTGAAAAGGAATGATCTTGATATACATTTTCTGTGCCAAGCACTTAGAAAGTATAAAGGGAATTCTGATGGGGATTCCAAAACATCATCAATAACTGCCCTATATAGGGTGTGTATTATAGCATTTGATCTGGGAGGGGAATCACCCTTGGAGAAAATCGAGGGCTACTAACCATCCCAGGCATTCTGAGTCACAGTTTTATAGCTTGTGATCCATGATATTCAAGCTGCTCACTTGCCACAGCAACATACTGCTAACGAACATCCTTCTTGTCTAGATTCAATCTGCTCCTCATCTAGTTTAAAACAATATTTACTACTTTCCTGAATCTGATCTGGGGGGGGAGAGTAAAAAAAAGTTGATTATCATCAGCATATTGATATCGTTCTTCAATTAAAAGAGACATACAGGCACAAAATAGAATTGGAAGCAAGAAAGAGCCTAGCCATAAGTGTAACTCCAAGGGCTGGTGCAAAACGTATCTGTCACCACTCATTGGGACAAAAGTTTAGCAATGGTAATACGGGTCTTGTGAAAATCTTCACCACTGAAAGCCCCTGATTTTTCTGTCAGTGTTTAGGGGTCAATGCAAAAGCAGTATGCAAGGGTTCAGTTATTGTAAGTAAATCCAAGATACCCAGGATTGGCCGTGTGGTCAATATAGTAAGCATTATCCTTACTCCAACAGGTTTCATACAGTCTTATTCATAACGTAACATAACTAGATCATATTGGCTTTCCTGTGTTCTGATATTATCAAGTTCTTTACATGATACCTGAGGTCTGAATCACAAATGGAAGAAATAGTCTAGAGATAGTCTAGGCACTGAGTTGGGGGTGGGGTGGTGGGACAGTGTTACAAACAGATGCAGACGCAGAGACTAATATGCATTAGTCTTCAATATCTGAATCAGTTCTGAGGTCAGTGATACCTGGGCATCTACTCTTATTCCCTGTCTTGCTACTTATAATTGCTGATCTCGGCGCCCTTTATTTATTTTTTTCTTATTGAGCCCCAGTCATTCATTCATTCTCTCATATAGTGCTAAGAATTACATACATAAAATCTGAGTTTCACAGACCCACTCACACAGTGCTTTAGGCTTAACTGCTGATTAATCCCATCAAGCACTGTGAGAAACAACAAGGCTGAACAGCTGCCAAATAAATACCTTTAAACTTACAAACTCTATGAAAGAATGGAGGGGAAGGGTCACTGTCCACAGGCAGCTGCCAGAATGCAGACATTCCCCTGTGGTCTCAGAACAAAAGAATAGTGGGGATTGCTAAAACCTTTCCCCCATCAAAGGACACCTGGACCCTAACTGGGCTCCAGGGTATTGTTTCCCCTTGCACCAAGATTTCCCCTACCCATCCAACACTTAGTTTTCTTTCTCTCTGATTAATTTCCTTGCACAACTGCCCTTTATAACCAATCTCCACACACACACACACACACACACACACACACACACACGAGAGTAAGGAAAACTGCTGAACAGCTGCCTGTGTGTGTGTAGAGTATGTGCAGAAAATATGTGTATAGTGGGCAGTCTCAGAATAACTCTGCCCTGGAAAGCCTCATGGTTTCTCCTCATACTTGACTCTCACATTCCAGAGAAATGGCCAAACTCATGGATATATCCAAGAATCCCACGTCTAAGAGTTAGCTTTATCTCAGGAAGGGCCACTGTACTGCCATCTGAGCTCCTGCCCTCCACTCACCAAATGGGATACCCGTTTTTGAACTGAGACATTCTGAAGCAATATTATATTACATTGCCCCATTATCAGCCAGTAATGCTCACTGAATTTACTCTTAAGCACTTGGTAATCTTGCAGAATAGGAATATTTGCATAAAACAGTAAATGCAAACACTAAAAAGCAACTACCTTCAAGTTCAAAAGAATTAATAATTATTTTAAAGCTATACTGACCCTCCTCTTTAGGGTCTAGAAATATATTAAAAACTCAGGACAAGATGTTGAAAAGCACAAGTTTCTAAACTTTTAATCATTTTGCAAACTGGGATGTGCTGGGGGATGCACATCTGGCAAAGAAATGTTTCTTGTTAAGATAAGAGAGGGTTGGGCTTGACAGTGTTACTAGAGCGTAACTGCTAGTCTCAGGGCAGACAAGGGGACTGCATTTAACCTCAATGTGCTATATCCACAGATATCATGCAAATGCCTCACACAACAAACAGTGGCCGAGGCAGCAGCAAGTGTTCCCACCTTGAGCTGTTTGGCTGAAAGAAAGAAGCAGAAGCCCCCGGAAAGAAAAGTCAGTCAAGAAGATTGGAGAAAATAAACCACCGGTGTGCACAGCTATCCGGCAGGGCAAAGCCAGCTAATGGCAGTCCAATAGATGTACAAGGTAATTAAAGGCAGTGACAGATGATATTCTAGGGATGTTTGTTGCTTTAGTGTGGTAAAAAGAGACACTATAAACACTCCTATAAAACACAGAGAGGCGAGAGATAGCTGTAAGGGGGTCCTCTGCAACAAAGGGAAACAAGCTTCTTATCAGCCCACCCACCCCATCCCTCCCACCTTAATACACGGGCTTTTTCACAGCATACATGTATTGCTGAAAGGAACTTACACCCAGGCAAAGAAGCAAAATCTCAGTGCTACTTCCCTTCAGTGAAGCAACCAGATCCATAGTTTAGAAGGAGCTTGCTAATTAAAAGCTGGTGAGCTTTAAATAATTCATCTCCTTAACTCATATTGATTTGGTAGTTTAGTGGTTAGGATCTTGAAACAATATTAAACAGCTTATTCCAGGCCTGTGTAGTTGGTGACTTTATCATTTATAGCTTTTTTCCTGACAAACTTAAATGAACAAAAGCAAGAAACATTCAAAGGGTCAGGAGACAAAGCAGAGAGGGACCTATCTGGGCAGTGGCAAAGGAAAGAAGATGCATGCAGTGGAATCAGACATCAGGCACTAGAACAGCTTATGTAAGGAAAAAGAAAAAATGACCATTAAGTATGAATATGCCTCAAATGACATCTCTCATATTTTCCTAGGACAAGCACCACACAGCATTCCCTATAGTACCTACCCCATGACTGCCCAGTTCACAGAGCACTGAGTCACTTCTAGTGCTATCACATTAGAAATTCTAAGACAATTAGATCAACATTTAGAGGACTGTACCCTCTCAGCAGGACCAGAAAAGAGCCAACTCTCCAAAGCAGCTGAATTCAAAGGTAGCATGGATGTGATCCATGCCACCCATCTGAGCAAAAATATGGATTAGAAAATCAGAGCCAAAAGAGGGATAGTTGAGCATGGCATCATGCTCTGCTAAGGACTAAATACAGAGGAAGGAAGAGAGGACCACTGCTCTTTTAAGGGGTCACCCTCACCAGTGACATTTCCAATGCAGCAGGAAGGAGCTAAGTGTCTTTGAGGAACATGATCCTTACTCCAGTACCAATTCTTTTAGATCCAGTATCTAGTCCCCAACACTGCTTGAAATTACAGTTTGATTTGCATTCAAAAAGAAGTGCTAATCTTAACTTTCCGTGCTAAATGTTTTGCCTCTTCACTGAAGACTCACACCAAAGTAGCTACAGCCTGGCTCCCACAGAGAGAGCCACACATCCTGCGGAACTGTAGCTGAGCAGGGTAAGGGCAGCCTTTCACTATACTTTTAACAACAGAAATGGAAGTGGAGTGGAGAAAGAAATGAGATGGGTTACTGACCTATCCCACTGTGAGGCCTTCCTATGTGTTGTAGGTTCAGGCCTTTGTTCATGTCTAAGAGTCCGTTCTTTGGCCAGCTTCCCATCGCAAAGCTGTATGCCTGAAAAAAAGAAAAAACATGTTAGATAATAGTGCAATGAAAGGATGTCCCAGCATCCTGCCCCCCCCCACATTTTACACAGCTGTTCTCTGAAATTACACAGCACTTCAAACTACCCTCAAGTACTTCAACCCATCAATGCAATGTGCCTCCAAGGGCTGATGTTTGGTTAATTTCTCAGAAAGACCACAAAGTCCACTCAGTGCTTTATTTTAGGTTTTCCACTTCCATGTAAATCAGTACATACACAGTCATACTGCTCTCATTTCAACTTTCTTTCTCCTCTCTGCAGCAACTTAATCCAGTCTGGTGCAGCTGCCATGACCTGCATGGAGAGCCATCTTAGTTTCGTTCAGATTCAACAGACTAGAATTCCATGTTCTCCACATCTGGTGCAAACAATTGTCCATCTCTATTTATTTAGCCCTCTTAAATCTACTCATAATTATTTCTTGCTGTCTGCAATTAAAATATTATTCCTGTCTGTGCTATTCTAATTTTTTTTCTGCCCAAAATCCAACCTTTAGGAATTTATCCATAAATACTATAATAAAAATGTAAGCAGCCTGATAGGAAAGCTGAACATAGCCTGAATTCAATTCTGTTAAGACAAATGGGGCTTAAGCTAGTTAACCAAGCCACTGTTCTTCCTTCCTTTCTTTTTCTGCCCTGACTTGAGATTCCCAGATAAGACAGTATCATATTTGTGGCCTGGCAGATAACACTGTAGTTTTCTTCCTGCTCTTTCCAGACTTCCTCAGTCCCATCAAATGGCAAGGTCAAGGAAAGAAAGGGCAATTTTCTACAGCATGTCTAGCATGTTAGACCCAAAGACCCTTCTTCATTAATATCTTTGAACTGCCCAGGAATGGCTTGAAAACCCAAGCCATGGTTTGACCACTCATAATAAAGGACCAAGTGTCCATTCGTTCATGGACAGATGCACTAACCTTTATTTCTTGGGGCAAGGAGAACACTTTCCTAAAAGGCACTGTCTTTCTCAAAACTGGAGATAAAAGAAGATCCCAGACTAGTTTGCAAAGGGACAGGTGGAGGAGAGGCAAATAAATATATCTGTGCAAGTGTAAACATCAACACTAACTTAGAAATAGTTGGATAAAGCATCATGGCCCCAAAACACAAGAACAATTGTGATCTGACGGCAGAATATCTTCTCTGCCACAAGATACTGTAGCAGCTGTGCCACTGTGTGATGTTAATGGACCAAGGCTTTGCAATGCTTAGCAGTTTGGCCTGCCGCATGAACAACTACTCCAAGGTGGGATAGGAGAGAATCGCCAGGTCCCCAACCTGTCAGCTACCTTGGGAAAGGAGAGAATAGACAATTTTGGCAGAGTCGGTAGCTATCCCTCTCCCTACTTAGTTAACCACAACTTGGAAGAGGTAACAGGTAAAGGGTAGACAAGAGCTGTTACAACAGAGGGGAGAATCAATCCGAAGTGCAGCCATGAGCCTAGACCAAGTGGGTTTGTGAAGACAGCAATTACGATTTGCGAGACTATAAAGCTTCTCTATATGAACACACCATTTCCCATCATGTTAGGTTCAGCACAGACACTAAAGCTAAGCCACTCACATATCCAGTCCACAAGGAACCCTGAAAACATGTAGGGTCAGAGCCAACAGATGTCCACTAGCATAAGAGGACTTTCTTCCCCTCTCCTTCTCCTGACACCCCTCTGCCTGACCTAAAAAATTGCTCCTGAGTGGGAGGAATTGCTCCTTTCTCAATTTTGCTAACAGAACTGCTTCCCACTGTTGCAACCAATACAACTTATGGCCACGAGGTTCCTTTTCTTCTGAAGTTCTGATCATTAAAAACCAGGAAAACTATTGAGAATCATCATCATAAATGGGATTCAGGAGTCTTTCACCATTCCCAGCATATTCCAGAAAGTTCTAATTGAGTTATTACAGTATGCTGAGCAAGCTTCACCATCAATTACTGTGGTATTAACTGGGGGTGGGGGTGTTAATTTACTCAGTGGAAAAAAATAAATTAAAAAAATAATAAATACACTTTCAAATGCCATTTAAAATACTTCTATAAGAGCTGGTGAGAACACAGTGTGTGCACCTCTGGTACACTGAATGCCACTTTTTTCTAGGACAGACACAGAGGGACAAATGTCACTAAATATTTGCTTCCATATCTTCCTCAGCATCCTCCCTCATTTTACTATTATCCCTTTCATTATCCTTCCAAGTAGCTTTTCATCAGAACAAAATTATACAACATCATTAAAATCAGTCTCTTTTCCAGAGAATTGATGGATACCCAATATAACACTCATTTTTAAGGGCCCCATAGTCTGAACAGAAAATTACAGACCTGTCAGCCCAGTGTCTGTTCCAACAATTAGGACACATAGAAGTACAAGCCTTAGCAAAGAACTCAGTATAGTTGCTGCCTCACCAACCTTTTACAGTTCTTCGCATGTGCTGAAACACAAAAAGCAATGGTGAGAGTGCTATTGCACTTATGTCTTACTTGGGGGTTACTCACAGGCAGCTGGTTGGCCACGTGTGAACAAAATGCTGAACAAGATGGACACATGCTAAATCCAGCATGGCTTTCTTATGTTAAAAGGTGTGTAGACAGAATGATCTGGTAGTCTTTATATGTTTGGACTATCAAAAAGCTTTCAATCAATGTCCTTCACTATAACCCTTTACATAAATTTAGGCACCCATGAAACAGAAATAGGTCCTCTTTTGAATCAGAAATTGGTAAAGAACAGGAAGCAGAAGGTACTAATAAATGGAAAGTTTTTGCTATGGAGGGAAGTAAAAAGTAAGCAGAATCTGTATTAGGATAAGTGCTATTTAACATTCATAAATGACATGGAATCAGAAGTGAGTAATGAGTAGGGAGGTTGCCAAGTTAGCAGACAACAGGATGGTGAAATTCAAATCCAAATGTGAATTCCACCAGTATTTTTTCAGTCTGGGTGGATGTCTAACAACATGAGAAATAAAAAGTCCTGTGTACCATTTTAAAACTGTGTTTTATCTGAAGCATGTAAGTGTTATCCTCAGTTGGCAAAGAAGTAGGCTCTTGCCGGAAAAAAAAAAACTTATGCAATGACAAACTTGTTATAATCTTTAAGGTGCCAAAAAGGACAGTATTGCTTCTGCTTTGACAGACTAACATAGCTACCTCTCTGGAAAACAGCAAATGAGATTCAAAATGAGATAGACATGGATATGTGTGGGAGGGAGAACAAAAACAAAACATCCTCATTATACATACACAGGGATAGTTCACTGAAAACTTCAAGTCAGTATGCAGAATCAATGAAAAGGTTGAACTCATTCTGGGAATTATTAATAAAGTAATTGAATAAAATATCTATTCTCATAAAGTCTTCATATAAATCTACAGTGTGTTGCATTTGAAATGTTGCATATAGAGTTCTGATCTTCCCAACTGGAATAAGCACACAAAACAACAACCAAGACAATCAAGTGCTGGAGCACATTCTCCATTAGTAAAGTACTTAAGGCTCTCATTTTTAGCTTAGAAAAAAGGATGACCAAGTTGAAACATGATAGAGCATAATAAAATTACTAATAGTATGGAGTGAATGGACCAGAATTCACGGTCACCTAAAAAAATTGATCAGCAATAGATTCAGAAAAGCGTAAGAGATGTATAGTTTCATACAATGCCTATACTTACACAAAACCTAAACTCAATGCCTAAACAACAGAAGTGACAATGGCCACTAGGTTAGATGACACCTTTATGGCATGATACATTCAGTGGAGAATAGGTCCCTCAGTGGAACTGAAATGTTTAGAGGCAGTATATCTCAGAATCAAGCACTGGAGCCATGGTGGGGAGAGGCTGGTGCCTTCATTCCTTGTTCATCAACTTTCCAAAGTTCTCCAGCAGACCACAATGGGAAACAGGATGCTGGACTACATTCTCCCCTTGGACTGATCCAGCAGATCTGTTTCAGTATTGTTATCCTCAACTTGGTGACAAATGAGGGCAACTGTAAAGCTGAATGTCAGTTTTAAGCTACCCAAGGCCACATGACTAAGTTTCTCAATTTGACCAGGACCCAATTCTGAATAGCTTGGACCATCCTAAAGCGTAAGTAACCGGAAGGTCATCAGTTCCCGGACAGTACAGAGTGCAGAAACAGAACTCTTAACTCTGCCTCCTACTGCCACTTCCATGACTTAACTGGTTGAAGGCAAAATACATAGTCTCTTATTCATTTAAATATAAAACAGGAAGATGTTGTAGAAAAGCATCTTTTATGAGGCAACCACTTCAAGAAAAGCAAAGAGGAGACACCCCAAAGAAGGAGAATCCTGAATTCCAGTCGTGGCACAGTGACACAGTTAGGAGACTCATACAAATACCACCTGCAGCCCTTCTGAGCAGCAAACTCTTACTCTTTCAAAGCCAGTGTATTTAAGGCCCCTCCCCACCAATCAGTGTCACTGTCAAGATGCCCCTGGAGTTCCATCATGGGGTTTTGGGTAGTTAATTTATTGCCATGTATGTATCCATTTATGCTGCTTTGTTACTCCTGCCTTAGCAAAACACAGGGGCTCCACAGGTAATTAATAGACAACAGTTAGGAGACTCATACAAATACCACCTGCAGCCCTTCTGAGCAGCAAACTCTTACTCTTTCAAAGCCAGTGTATTTAAGGCCCCTCCCCACCAATCAGTGTCACTGTCAAGATGCCCCTGGAGTTCCATCATGGGGTTTTGGGTAGTTAATTTATTGCCATGTATGTATCCATTTATGCTGCTTTGTTACTCCTGCCTTAGCAAAACACAGGGGCTCCACAGGTAATTAATAGACAACACTGCTAATCCTATTGGGAGATGATTAGCAATTAAAACTCCTAATTAAGTCTATGCATAATTCACTGAAATTACATCCCTGTGTACACAATGGAGAGGTTTCCTTTGCCTTTGACAAATATGCACTGATATCTTTATTACTCATTCA